AATAATGGCCAGTTATAATAAATAATTTAAATTAAACTCACTCTTATGTGCTACACCTGGGAGGGGCATGAAAGCACATTCCAAGAACAGTTCCATGTTTTTGAAGAAACAGGGGTCACCTGACACTTGTCTTTTCCTTTGTGAGTGTGTGGGAGGAGGCTGGGGGGCTTTACTATAAGCTCTCAGAATTCCCTTTGCTTGACTTCATTCTTGGACTGTGGCCTGTCTGCTTAGTACATAAACCATGTTTACTTCTTCTTCTCCTTCTCCTCCTCATCCATCTCCTCCTCCTTCATTCTGACAGTCTTATTCACCTTTCTCTTTGCTTTGACAGTTTCTTTAAAGAAGTCTACTATTGGATAACTTGGTAAGCCCTTTTGGGGCTATTTTCTTCCTTTTGCTCTCCACTTTTTAAATCCTTTGCTAATTTTGGAGTGGTTCATTAATATGTTTTAGGGTATATTTTATTCAGGTCATTCTTTGACTTCTTTTTACCTGGACGTTTGTACCACTCTGTGGGTTGTTTCATTTGTTCTCAGTGAATTGTCTTTCAAATCCACTCACATTATCAAGTCTTTCTTGAATCTCATTGATCTAATATTTGTTATCTAATGCTGTCAAATCACTTTTTAAACTTTTTTGGGCCCTCTTAATTATTTATTTTCCTAATTATTTTTCCTTGTTCAATATATATTTGTATCTAGTTTGTCTTCAAACTTGCTGATTTTGTTTTGTTATTTGTTTCTGAATGATTTCCATTTCATCTAGTATAGTTTTCCATTCCAGGATTTATGTTTGATTCAAAAGAACTGTTGAATCTTTCTGCTAAGTTTATATGACAAATTATTCAATTGTTTTTTCTCACTATTTGAAATTCATATTGTTTCTTAAAATAGTTAATTTACATTGTCGGAGACCTTGCCTATTACCACTTTATGGTTGGATTTTGGTACCTCATTCCATTGTGGAATGTAACGATTACTTGAAAGGTTTATTTATAAATGTTGAAGTTTTAAACCTTTAAAACCTTTGCTTTTAATATCCCCTAGCTTTGCCACAGGATGAGTGCATATTCATTCTACTTCTCCTGGGTATAGTCAGAAGATTTCTTGTGTCCTGCCTGGTCCGCAGCTGCTCAGACCCAAGTAAACACACAGAAGCTTATATTAATTAAAACTGCTTGGTCATTTGCTCAGGCTTATTACGGACTAGCTCGTACACTTAAATTAACCCATAATTCTTATCTATGTTTAGCCACGTGGCTTGGTACTTTTTTTTCAGTCCTGCCTTCACATCTTGCTTCCTCTGTGTCTGGCTGGTGACTGTTGACTCAGCTTTTCTCTTCCCAGAATTCTCCTTGTCTGCTTATCCTGCCTATACTTCCTGCCTGGCTACTGGCCAATCAGCATTTTATTTATCAACCAATCAGAGTGTCACATTCACAGCATACAAAGTGATGTCACCCATCACCTGGGCAGACTATGTGCTTTCTGAGGTTGATGAGGGGATGGAGTGATAACTTCCAGACCACTAAGGCCCCTGAAATGCTCAACTATCTAATAAGAGCACACCAAAGGAGAAGAACCCAAACCCAGGGACTGAGATACCTGCCAGATACAATGTAGGCTAGATTGCAAATCTGTCCTACCAGGGCTGTAAGCCTGAGCTTGTCACCAGGAAGAATCCCAAAATCTAGCAAATCCCACAGGTACTTGCTTGTGGTCAAGGGTCATTGTGTCTTACAGATGCTGGGTTTTACTATGGCAAGCCTGGCTATAAGATGCTCAGCAATTCAAAAACTTGCACATGTATTCTATTCCAAGACAGACAGAGTCATTCGTCAGACTGTACTAGCTAAATTTAGAGAAGAGATGGTGGAGGGAGTGCCTTGGTCACCGAGGAGAGCACTAAGCATGATGTTACCCAAGGACTTTAACTACAACCATCTCTACTGTCTCCTTAGGTGTATCTCAGGCCTGCACCTCAAATTTCATTATGGTAGGACAAAACCACTCTGTTGGGTGCAGATCTCTTTTCACACAATGCAGATCCAGAAGCTTCATCGGTATGGAGTGTCCTGGATACGGGATCTTTTGCTTTTTGCCTGGTGTTAAGTTTCACTATGAGAGCCCAGTATTATTTCAAGGAAACTTCTGTGGTTCATTCTCCATCTCACAATTCACCACAGGGAGATTTTTCTGTGCTGTGTATCTCACACTTAGAATAGTGCTGATAGATTCAGTTCCTCACTGACTGTCAGTGTTGAGTCCAGAGGCTTCATCCAATGTGTTAGCATGAAGCAAAAGTGCCTGGTCCAGCTAGAGTGCCTGGTCCAGCACTGTGTTTCCATGGTAGGTCTGTCTCTAAGTTCCAAGTTACGGACATCACAATCTCTCTTCAACAAAGGAGCCACCTGCCCCATGATGCACTGCCTCAAGTTTGGAGAAGGTTAAATAGACAATTCTTTCCATCTTGACTTCAAATGGGTCTTTGCTTATGACTATGCTAGCATGCTGCTGTATTTCCATAGTTACATAAAGTGCCTGATTTCCACAGTTCTTGTAAATATGTTTCCTTGCAAAGTAGTTATTCCAACTAATATTTCTTCAAATATACACCTCTTAGTGATTTTTCCCAGAGTCTTGCTCTGCTCTCAGTTGAGGACAATTTTTGCTGTCTTATCATAAGCTATATTTCAAACTCTGGGGCAGTGGCTGGTAAGAATCACAATTAGAAACTAACCATTAAGTCCATGGCTAAAGAAGAATAGGGAACATAATCTATTAAAAGGAAAGTTTAAAAAATTCTGGATCAGAAATGATACAGTATGAAAGCACTGAATTATCTCTGAATTATGGCATTAATTAAAAAATTCTGTAGATATTTTATGGAGATAAAAGAACCAAACTTTCATACATACTCATTACAGCAGCATGCTGACCTTGAGCTGTATAATCATAATCCAGTTTAGAAAAAACAAAAATATACAAGACCATCAAGTACCAAAAAGCTGGAAACTCATTTTCTAGGTCTAAAAATGAATTCAGTTTTAGCAAAAGATTAGAAAAAATACGAGGCATAAAATGACAAAAAATAAACCCTGTGTCTTTGTTCCATCTATCCATTTACAAATTTATGTGACTTAGAAGTACCTAAAATAGAAATGTCTGATAAACTTTGGTGTTAATGTATCCTAAATATTGCCTTAATATCAACAATGAGAATCTTCAGGAAAAACCACAGTGTGGCATGATCAGATGCACTGCCAACTCCCAGCCCAAAGCAAAAGCATTATATGCGGTCTAATCAATAACAGATGGATAACGACTGAGGGACCCATTGCTTCTAAATGGAAAAGAAGGGCTTTATTTTCCCAAAAGGCTTATGGCAGAGATGGCTTCATCCATTAGGCAGTATTGTTAATCCCTGTGGCTAAAATGGGTAGAGCATATGGTATAATAATCACATCTACAACATCTATTTATAAGACCATCATGCCAGATAACACTATGCCCTCGTTACCCTTACTTTGCAAATAGCAGCTTAATCAATAAAAATTTAATACTCTCTGCAAGAATATAGTTGATAGTTGAAGTGTAAAATTCAAGTGAAGGTTGGCAGATTCAGAATGGAGTGGGAATGACTTACAAGCTTCCTCTGAAGATGGGATCAACATAAACTTAGCCACCAAAGCAGTGTCATGCAATGTGGGTCACCCAACCTCCAATACATGGGTACCCACCCCCCAAGGGTTAAAATATACATTAAAAGCACCAGAGGATCCTGAGAATGGGACCAATGCCTACCAATAACAAAATATATGTGAAATGCTATGTTTTGCCAAAAGGAAGACAAGCGCATGTGAATGCGTAGCCGTAGCACACACAAGCTGATGCCTGAAAACCTGCAGGGGATTATTTAGCGATACATATTACATAAAGAGAAATGACTTTTTAATGTTAAATGACCATTTTTGAGTGAATATTACATGAATTGATTATACTTGCCTAGTTCTATATGAAGGGAGGTATAATAATTGTATTTATATTTTAATCGAGTCATGTAAATTAACTTACAATAAATTAGACAGCTAATAAGTAGCTTTGGCAGGACCCAAGTACACTCGTGATGACTACAGAGATTATGCACTGCCTCGCCTTTCAAAGCAAGGAGAACAACAAACCATTCTGAAGCTGATCTACATGCAGTAGGAATTGCTGCCTCTGTAGGTGGTAGACTACTAAGGACTGAGGAACTGTGGACCCAGCAATGCAGATACATGTATAGGAATGTCTGTTAAATTGTGTGAACTCTGCTTTCTGACAAGCAATAGTCAAAATCATCAGAGTATAAAAATGTTGAACCTCAGTTCATGGGTGTACACAGAGTAGGAATGACAATGATGGTTTGCTTCACCATGCATGAGTAGACTTGTTATCAATCGGTGCATTAAATCTGTCTGGCTCCTGGAAATAGTCATTTGCTTAATAGTTCTTTTGTGAGCAGGGAGTCTGGCCCAATCTCAAATGACTCATCTCCCAGCTACAGAGGAGCTGAGGCATAAGGGGAAAATAAAATCTAACTTCATTTTTCACAAATAATATGAAGAAGGAAGTCGTCACAGCATGCTGCACTTTTCGCGACAGAATGCAACAGTGTTTTCTTCCGACATGGGTCAATGAGGAATAGAGCATGGTTTTCCTGTGCAGGTGTCTCCTTGAGTTGGTGTAAATAAAGCAAATAATACAAGCTGAATAGAAAATGTACAGATTTGTTAAGTTGTGCTGTGAGGATTAGACAAAGTCTAAGGCTGTATCTTAATTGTGTCATTATAGTAGTCAAAAATATTTGTTCAATAATAAAAATCTGTTTGTCGTTGATTTATTTTTTTACTGCTCTTCAGATTTAAAGTAATCTATTATGTGATTGTTGCCTACAAATAATTATATTATATAGAAGCATTAAGACAAATATAAACGTTTTACTGTATTGATTGCCAGGTGATTAAACAGGAAGAATTGAACAAGGACCTTTCTGGCTGTACTTTGTATGATCTGCTCAAGTATGATGACTTCAATGCTGACAAGCACTTGGCTCTTGAAGAATTCTATAGAGCATTTCGTGAGTACAGAGTCAATCCTTATTTCATTTGCTCTTTTTTTTTCCTGTTACTTTAAGCAATATGGTCTGTAAGCTTGATCCCAAAGTACAAGCTGTTTCGTAGAAGTGTTATACCGAAGAGAATTTAAGGATTTGGCTCCTCCAGAGCATATGCAAAGCTAGGAGATTTTGCATTTTGTGGCTATGCTCTCTTTCCTAGGGTATCTTGTGTCCTACTGACTGGTGTGAGAGACAGTATACCAAGCTGCCTTTGTGGTTGCTCTGGAGGAGGAGCAACACTGACCTGTAGCCACCGTGCATCACAAACAATTTAATTACTTATGCAGTGACATTTACAACTTCATTGGGAAGGCAAAATGAACATTCCAGGAGGCCTTGCATTTTGGTTGTGAGCCTAGCCTTTAAAGGCTGCGCCATCTCTCCAGCCCTAGGCCTTGCATTTTAGAATTGTCCTTTCTTTCATTGGAATGAAACATTATATCCATGCTAAGGTATTCCAGAACAATTTATATTTGTTTGAATTGCTTAAATGTTTCTTAGAATGATGAACTGTGCTTTATAAAACAAACAAACAAACAAAAACCATGAAAATGATTTAGTCAGTATAAATTTTCTATCAATCTACTCTTTAAAAATAACTGAAACAGGGACTAGGAAGCCACAACAAAAACAATGAAAGAATCAAGATCTGTGCTCAAGAGAAAAACAAACAAATGCATGGTGTGGGGGCTTGCAAAGTACTAGAGAAGCCTACAACACATTGAACTGAGCACATGGGAGCACACCATGAGACAAAGAGATGGATTGGAGCGAGACAGATATGCTTAGCTGAAAAAGAAATATGATGTACAATTAATGTGAAAAGATTTGCTTTGAAATAAAACAGCTTCTATTGCAAGGGGTTAATTAAAAATATTATTTCTTTAGGCTGGGCAGATGACTCGGTAGTTAAGACCACCTGGTGATTTTAAAGAAAACCTGGTTTCTGTTGTCCCCACCTCTGTGAGATGGTTCCATGGGATCCACTGTTTTTTTTCTGACCCTTGCAACAACATGCTCATACATGGAATACTCATGCAGAGACACCACACATACTTCTAAGTATAAAACAATAGCAGGAGGCTATATATTTTGAGATAACGTTATAATATGTTCTCAGGATTTAGTCATTTTTGCATGTTCATTTAGATGAGAAAGGGGAATTTATCAGACAAGATGACTCAGTAAGTTGTTGGTCCCTTAAGAGGGTTTTCAAAAGCTAATATGCCTTGCAAAATAAGGAAATGAGAGAAATTAATCATTGTAAGTTTATATGAAGAAGATGAAAAGCATAGAGATAAAGGAAAATTGATAAGTATTCTGTCAAGCCTATGTCGATTTTGTTGTTAAAACAGTGCATTTTATACCCCATATTAGGCATTTTTTGGGGGACCTCAAGGAGGCAGAAGAGGAAAAGAAATGATAGTTTATTAGTTAAAAGTATATACATATAATTTATTACAAAAACTCAGCATCTATTATTCTATAATGGTACACAAGTCAGAAGGTTATAAAAAGTAACTTTTAATAATGACTGGAGATTATCATCTGTGCTTTGGTGGGTAGGGTCTTTATAAAGATTATAGCAATATAACTGTTTAGGGTTAAGTGGCTTTAAACTTGGGGGAAAAGATCAAAGGTCAGAGAACAGAAAAATGGCATAATCAAGAAAGCAGGTACTTGAGATTTATGAGTAAAGTAAATTGTTCATCACGAGTATGTTCTGTATGAAGTTCTATTGAACTATAGGTTATTTTTTTTTTAGTAGCTAATTTCATTAATCATCTGTCTAATGTCCCAACCCTTACCCATATTTTACACTAGGAGACGAACATGAGCTGAAATAAATGAGTGACGTAATACTTAGCATTATCTGGAAATAACTGAGAGATATACAGTTTACAAAGCATTGAGAAGAGTGCTAAAGGGAAATATTTGTGTTTTGTGAGTAGTGAAACAGTGGGAAAAGAAACAAAGATAAATGTGAACAGAGTGCTGTTTTAAGCTAGCTCATGAGGATTCTATGCAATTATATCTGAATGTGTCAACAGATAAGAATCATGCTACATTATTGCTACTTGTTTTGCTTGGGGTGTCGGGGTTTTAGAATATGATTTTGGTGTTGATGTGGAAGTATATGTGTTCTGATAAGTGGCATTTTAAAACTCAAAATCAATAGACAATGAAACTCAAACATGATGAAGCATCATTGTCTGGTCACAAAGCTACTTTATATAAGGAACTATCTAATTTGAGAAGAAAAGTAATGAGGTTCTATTTACTTTTAGACTGTAACTCAGATATAATGTGATGGGAAACATTTATAGTACATACAATTAACTTAATTGTTGTTGTAATGATTCTGTCCTTAGGTTAAAGTTAAAATAACTTCAGAGTCTACATATTCAATATTTGAAACATAGGGATATGATAGGTAAGAAAAGCACTTAGCAGCCCAGCATGCTGGCTCACACTTTGAACACCAAAACTCAAATTTTAAAGATGGGAAGATCAAAACTAAGCCAGCCTGGGCTATGTGTCATGACTCTGCCTCAAAACAAACAAACAGCAACAACAACAAAAAACAACTAAAACAAAAAAGAAAATCCTAAAGCTGGATCAACTGCTGTGCAAGCATTAGGACTCCAGTACAGATGCCCAGAGCCCATGTAATCGGGGTGGGGTGGGGTGGGGTGGTGGTGGGTGGTGTTAGAGATCTACCTGTAATTATTTCACAAAGAATTGGGAGACATGCATCTCAGGGAAAAGACGAGCTGTCTAGCTTTACTATCCTAACTGGTAAAGTCCATGTTGAACAAAGAGCTTCCAAGTCAATCAATAAAGTAGAGAATAATTTAGGGGAGTGCCTGATGTGAACTTTGGGTATCTACATCAACCTTCACACAAGTGTCTCCGTCCACATGCTAACACCCCTGTTCACACTACATACATATGAACACAAAAGATAAACGAAGTACACATTTTTTTTTTTTTTTTTTTTTTTTTTTGGTTTTTCGAGACAGGGTTTCTCTGTAGCTTTGCGCCTCGCCTGGAACTCACTTGGTAGCCCAGGCTGGCCTCGAACTCACAGAGATCCGCCTGGCTCTGCCTCCCGAGTGCTGGGATTAAAGGCATGCGCCACCACCGCCCGGCGAAGTACACATTTTAAAAAGAAAATAAACACAAGAAAATGTGTTTGGCAACTATCCATCATGTAATGAAAGTTTTGTTGTTATATAAATGTATTCAGTTTAAATGTTAAAATTATATTGCTTAATGGCATATTTTTTCTAAACAATGCTGCAATTTTGGAGGATATTTTAGTTCTTTTTGGTCTCATGAAGCCGCAGCCTTTGCATGGTATTATCGTCTCAGTTCTTCACCCTCATTTGCAACAAGAGTCAAATTATAAACTCTCAAATGAAATAAATTGACTTTTAAGGGCTGGATGCACTAACAGTGTTTATACAAAAATGTGAATTTAAAATGGGTATCTCTTTCTCCTCATTGGATTTTTTGAAGCTTAATTGCAAGCTATGTATAATGGTACATATTTTAAAAGTTGTCCAATTAAAAAATGTTTAGGTATTACAAATAAAATTGTGTATCAATAATGGGAAATCCATTTATTAAAAATATACACCAAGTGTCTTTTTATCTAGAGGGATGTGAAGGTCAATACAATTTAAAATTAGATTCCCACCTCCCACCAGGAGTGTATAACCTCAGATATTTTTTCTAAAAAATGATGGTTATAATAGAAGTAAATGTATAAGCAGTCTTTTTTCACACCTGGGGTATATTTCTCCATATTATTTTTAAACAGTGTCACAGTAAACTTGTAGAGTTCTTTGTGAATATGGGGAGCCATAAACTAAGAAATATATAAATATATATATAGACATATTTCTTGAGTTCCAGTTAATCATTCTTTCTGACATATTATAAAATTTGGAGGGTGAAGGGTATTTTGTTAGCAAAGAAAGTTAATGATAAAAATTGTGCATCATTAAGTATTATTACACTGCTGTAATGTTATTGTGCCCATTGCAGTTATTGTTTTTAAGTTATTTTCATTAAAAGTCTTTTTTGCTTTGTAGGTGGAATAAAGTACTTTAATAATTTCCCAAAAGCACTGAATGGCCAATTACTCTCATTTTTTCTCCAGAGATTTAAGTACAAGTGCTTAGTGTGAGCATCAGGCTTTCTCTACAGGCCTTGTTTCATCAGCAGACTTGGAAAGCTGTTTAATGAGATCCAATAAAGAGTCAGCAAAGCCCTGACAGTTTTTCATGCCTAGAATAAATACTAAGTCTCTTGTCAGGTGACATGCACCCTTACCATGGCATTCTGTTGTCTTGAATACTTTCAGCCAAACATGTACACCATATGTTTAGTTTTCTTTGAGCATGAGAAATGAGTTGTATTCAGGCAAAGCAATGCTGTTCTTCTCAGCTAAAATTAAATAAAATTTGTAAGGTTAAATGTGAATTGGATAAAATTCTACATCTATAATTTAAATCTGTAGGGAAATGTAAATTTTAATAATACAGAAAGTAACTATAAACTTTAGGCATTTAATTTTAGAAAACCTTTTCAAGCCAGTGTCTGGTTGGTAATTCTTTTAATTTAGTTTATTGTTATTTGTTCATCTGTTTCATGCATGATGTGTGTGTGTGTTATGAGGTGGGTACTCAGGTGTACAGCACATATGGGAGGTCAGAGGTCAACTTTGTGCAGCTGAGTCTCTCTTTCCAACTTTCCATGGGTTCCAGGGTACAAACTCAGATTGTCTGGCTTGTGTCTTCAAATGGCAGATGCCTTTACCGGATGAGCTATCTCACTGCACTAGTAATTCCGGGAGATTCCAGGGGTTCCGTTTTATATTAGCCTTCTTTAGATCAATGAGAACATGTTGAGTTGTGTTAGCATTTTACAATGTTGAACCTCTAAAGTGACAA